GGGACATGAGGTATTCTTCTAATGGAAATGCCCTGTAGCTTGATGTTACCAATGTCAATATTTCGTTGTAATGTTGTACTATAGTTTCACAAGATGTTACCACTGGAGGCAAGGGTGGAGGAAGCTGGGTAAAGAACACTCAGATCTCTCTCTCTCTTATTCATAACGAATGCATATAAAGCTGTAATTATCTCAAAACAAGTTTAATTTATGTTTAATGGGAATACAGTCTCAGTTTTGCAAGACAAAAAGAGTTCTGGGGGCTGGCTGCACAATAATATGCTTTATTTTTTTAATATATATATTTTTTATTGATCACGATAATATGAATGTACTTAACACTACTAAACTGTACACTTAAAATGTTAAGGTAGTAAATTTTATGCTATGTGTACTTTACTACAATTAAGTATCATTGTGAACTCAGATTTAAGCATATTTAAACACATCAAATATGTTTAAATTCATTGTAGATATTGTTCATTTTGACACTCAAATTGCCTATCTTTGGCCAGTAGAATTATTCTAGTAGTTTCTGATTCCTTTTGATACAATCTTAAGTCTTTGAAAGCTTCCTTGCTTATCTTGGAAAATTCCTCCCCCATACCTGAAATTAGTCATTTCTTAGAAGGGGTTCCTTCTAATGGGAAATTGTGTTGAGATAGCTCAGTTTGAACAATAGCATGCTCATTGCTAATGGGTCTTTGTTTCCAGGCCTTTTTAATATAAAGTTAGGAAATGGCATAAAAACACCATGAGCTCCAAGTTATATTTCCAATTGAAATGCAGAATTATAGCGTTTTTACTTTAACTGTATCAACTAAATCTGTACCTCTTTGTTCTACACCAAAAATCCTGTTTCACAAAGACACTGATATTTAACACTCATTTGTTTTACCTCACAATACACAATAGTTTCAGAACAACAATACTAACACTCCCACACCAACCATACGCCTACTTTAAAACATTTTTGCACTTCTTCTTGTCCTTAGAGTATATTCCACTTGGGAGCCATGGTCAATTATTGTTTTACAGTCACTTGAATGGTTTGGTTGGGGACATTTTACAGTTTGGTAATAAAAGCCTTTATGATGTGGTCTTGTGTGGTCACGGGAAAAACTACATTGTTCAGAAATATTTGTATAATAAAGAGAAGGGTCCTTATGGGCCTCTGGATTCTGAATTAAATGTAGAGCCAATTAATGCAGATGCCTCAGTGACCCAGTTTGGAATCAGCCGTGTTCATTTCACTTGGCAAGTACTAGGAGGTGAATGATCCCAGAAGCCTATGGCTGCAGAAATACGGCATGGCTAAAGTCCTGGGCTGCAATATTTTAAAAGGTCACAGGATTATGTGACTCCACAAAAGTACCCTTCTGAGTCTCTTTTTCTCTGTTTATCTCTCCAAATGCCCCTCCCTTGGGGGTTAGTAACTGTCAAAAACTTCTATCCCCAGTCTTTCTTCACTTCTTTGCCTTGGTTAACCTCCTCCCCCCACCCCCGCCCCCACCCCCCAACAACTCAGGAGTGTGTGTGTGTGTGTGTGTGTGTGTGTGTGTGTGTGTGTTGGTGCGAGGGAAGGAAGAGGCATTGCTGTATGAAAATGGAGGTAGTAGGGGGATGGACAGCTGCAAGGATCTGAACTGGGAGACTGAAACCCTCATCCTAAACAACTTAGAGCTCAGATTTCTTCTCTGGGCAGCTGGCTTTTTCGGTCCTTCTGAAATAGTCTGCAAAGATGGGGGAGGGCTGTCAGCTACATCCGATTTGGACCCTGTTTAAAGTCAGCTCCCCACTAGGTATGTTCTGTAGAGACGAAATGCAATAGTCAATACAGCGGAGATGAGGGCGGTGAACGAGAGGCACACAATTGCCCGCTCTCATTTTAAAGGCCGGGGGCTCATTCGTGACCATACTGGAGGGCTGCCTGGAGTAGGCAGTGACTAGAGTCCTAGAAGCTGGAATTGGATATCTGACTTGCCTGTCATATTTCGGTTCGCCCTCCCCTACTTGGCACCCTACACCCCACATTCTTTCTAATCCTCCTGCCCTCCCAACTCCCACACCCTACCCCCATCAACGCTCCTGGAATTTTGGACTTAGCTATTTTTAAAACAGTCAACTCAGTAGCCACCTCCCTCCCCCGCTCAGCTGTCCAGTGCCCCAGCCAGCCATATACTCCCCCTTCCCCCCACACCAGCCCTTCTCTGGCTCCCTGACCTCACTGAGGTTGCAGCAGGCCTGGGGGCCTAGGGGAGACATGGAGAAAGAGACGGGGGATCCCCTGGCTGGAGCCGACCAACAGAGTAGGCAGTCATGGCCGGAGAACGGGATGTCAGAGTAATGTTTGGCCTCTGGAAACAGTAAGTCAAAATGAAATTGCAATTCCTTTAATACGCTTTTGGATTGAAGTGAGACTTTCACAGAATTACAACAGATATCTCTGGTCCAAAAGCTACGATCTCTTCCGGGCTAAGGTGCCCCCATCTGCATTCCTCCTTCTGTCTGATTTCTTTCTGGCCTCGAGCCACTCGAAGTTTAAGCCTCGGGCTCCCCTCGGGCAGCTTCAGCTCTCTCTTCACCTGGTTCCCTCCAGGCTTCCGAGGAGGCCGCCTTCCTTAGCAGGAGTGTCCCATGTCCTGAGTCTGTGGTTTTCTCATCGAGGCCAAATTTAGCCTCACATGATTAGTCATGACATTCGTCTACCCCGTCCCCACTTAGCGGTGCCCTTCGCATTGGGCTTCCAAGGATGGTGGCCACTCCTCGTCAAAAATGATTTCTCCCCACAACTCCAGACCTGCGGTCCTATTCTCCCTCCTGTGCCCGTCCCCCAGGCGTACCCTTACCCCAGGGGAGGCAGGCCCCTCCCCAAGTCCTCTCCTCGTCCAGAGACTGAGAACTTCTAAGTTTGCAAAGGGAAGGTTAGCGGGAAAAGCGATTCCTCAGCCAGGTCTGGAAATACTCAAGAGCTGTGGGCTCCGTGCCAGCAGGTGTTGTTGTGCGTGCTTGGGTTGCACTCGGTTATCCGATGAGAGAGGGGCTATAACTGCAGCTCTCTGGAACAGATGAAAAGAAATCAGCTCCCTTTTTATTTGAATATTGAGGGGTGGGTATTCTTGCTGAAAATTCTAACCCAAAGGGGATAAAAAAGAAAGAACAACCCCCGGTGTTCCCTCCTGATGGGGAGAGGCAAATAAGAGGTATGTTTCCGAAGCACTTTTCAGATCCTAAGTCCATTGGGGAACCTATAATTCCATTGGGGAACCTATAATTCCATTGGGGAATCTATAATTCTCTTGGGGAACCTGTAATTCTATTGGGGAACCTACTGGAACGGTTGGATCTGATCTGTCCCCATGACTCCTCCGTTTTGGACATTTCTGCTGTTTTGGTAGCTCAGAATGGGGCAACACAGTGGACTCTGCCCCCCACCCCGGGGCCACTCAACGTTCCTTCCACCCCCGCGCCGGGGTGTTGCATAAGGGACCTGAGAGTGGCCACAGAGCAGGGCACGGAGGTCTAACCGCCACACGCACAGTTCAGGGAGCCCCCTTCTCCCCAAACTCCGGTCCGCGTACCCTTTTCTTGACCTTCCCACATTCCCTTCACATCATCCAGAACAGCCTTCACGTTCCTGTCTCCCCACGCCCAGTCTCTTACAGGACGGCCAGCCAACGTCCACTAGGTAGGACAGCCATCCGCTGGGAAGAGCTGGAGCCTGCGGGGACCTGGCTGGATAGGTATGGGGGATCCTGGCCAGTGCCCTAGTCCCCGGGCCCCCCATGGCAGTCCCCCGACTCTAAGCACCCTCACTCTCCTGCTGCTCCTCTGTGGATATGGTAAGGAGGGGCTAGGGGAGGGTGTGGGGGCCCTAGAAGGCAGGCTGCTCTCAGGGTGGGCATGTGGGCATGAGGGAGTGAGAAGAAGGGTGCCAGGGGTCACCCCCACTCTCAAGCAGGAATATACTATTTCCCATTCCGCTTGGGGACGGGAAGAGCTATAGCGGGCTCATTCATTTTAGCTAAACTGAGCGAGGACAGCAGTAGGGAGCTGGGGGCTGGGCCTTGAGCCTTCAGTGGTTTCAGGAGGGGCTGGCATCCCCTGATGAGATGGGGGGCGGGGGGGCAAACTCCGATAGAGCGGGGCTCTGGGCACCATCTCGCTCCTCCCGCGTCTGCCCCCAGCTCACTCTCAGTGCAAGATCCTGCGCTGCAATGCGGAGTACGTGTCGTCCACCTTGAGCCTCCGAGGCGGGGGCTCCCCCGGGGCGCTCCGAGGGGCCGGCGGCGGGGGCCGGGGCGCCGGGGGCTCCAGCGGCCTCTGCCGGGCGCTGCGCTCCTACGCGCTGTGCACGCGGCGCACGGCGCGCACCTGCCGCGGGGACCTCGCCTTCCACTCGGCGGTGCACGGCATCGAGGACCTGATGATCCAGCACAACTGCTCCCGCCAGGGCCCCACGGCCCCGCCCCCGGCCCGCGGCCCCGTCCTGCCCGGCGCCGGCCCCGCGCCCCCCTCGGGCCCCGCCGCCCCCGACCCCTGCGACTACGCGGGCCGCTTCGCCCGGCTGCACGGCCGGCCCCCCGGCTTCCTGCACTGCGCCTCCTTCGGGGACCCCCACGTGCGCAGCTTCCACCACCACTTCCACACGTGCCGGGTGCGGGGCGCGTGGCCGCTGCTGGACAACGACTTCCTCTTCGTCCAGGCCACCAGCTCCCCCGTGGCCCCCGGCGCCAACGCCACCGCCACCCGCAAGGTCAGGACCCGGTCGCTCCCGGGACCCTCTCCCGGCGCCCAGCCCAGCCCACTGTCCCCGGGCGAGGCTCCCATCCCGCGTCTCCCCAGCCCCCGCCCCGCCCTCTCCGCCGTCACCGCGTCCTGCAGACACCGCTCCTGTGAATCCCTGTCCCTCGGGGAGGGGGGGGGGTCCGCTCAAGTTCAAAGCCACTGCAGACAGTGGGGAGGGGAGAGCCGAGAGCCCTGGGGCGAGGGGACTTCTCCTTCCCCTGCGGGAGCTGCTGAGACTGAGGCCAAGGGGAGAGGGGGCTGAGCAGGGATGGGGATGGGGGAGAGGGGGGACCCCGCCAGGCCTGGCAGGAGAGCCCGTCGGAGGCCTGGCTGCGGGGCGAGGGTGCCCGGCCGCGAGTGAACCGCCTCCCTCTCGCCCTCCAGCTCACCATCATCTTTAAGAACATGCAGGAGTGCATCGACCAGAAGGTCTACCAGGCGGAGGTGGGCAACCTGCCCGCCGCCTTTGAAGACGGTTCGGTCAACGGCGGGGACCGGCCGGGGGGCTCCAGCCTCTCCATCCGCACGGCGAGCCCCGGGAGCCACGTGGAGATCCGGGCGGCCTACATCGGCACCACGGTGGTCGTGCGGCAGGCGGCCGGGCAGCTCTCCTTCGCCATCCGGGTGGCGGAGGACGTGGCCCGCGCCTTCTCGGCGGAGCAGGACCTGCAGCTCTGCGTGGGCGGGTGCCCCCCGAGCCAGCGGCTGTCCCCCGCCGAGCGCGGCCTCCGGGGGGCGCTGCCCGCGGACGCTGCCCGGCGGCTGTGCAAGGAGGGGCTGCCGGTGGAAGACGCCTACTTCCATTCCTGCGTCTTCGACGTTCTCATCTCTGGGGACCCCAACTTCACCGTGGCCGCGCGGGCTGCGCTGGAAGACGCCCGCGCTTTCCTGCCGGACCTCGAGAAGCTGCACCTCTTCCCCGCCGACGCCGGGGCCCCCCTGGCCCCCGCCGCGCTCCCAGCCCCGCTGCTTCCCGGCCTCTTGGTTCTGTGGCTTTTCGGTCAGTAACTAGGCCCTGAGCCCTGGGTTGGGCTGGACATGACTTGGGGATAGAGATTGGCAGGGACGAGCAGAAAGAATCGCTGAAGGACCCTGGCCGGTTTGGCTCAGTGGATAGAGCATCCGCCTGCGGACTGAAGGGTCCAGGGTTCGATTCACGTCAAAAGCACACGCCGGGCGGACTCGATCCCCAAGCGGCTGTGCAGGAGGCAGCCCATCAGTGATTCTCTCTCATCATTGATGTTTCTATCTCTCTCTCCCTTCCTTCACTGAAGGAAAGAGTCACTGAAGGAAACAGTGGGGACTGGGAGACACGTGAAACAATGACATTTATCCAGAGCTAGACAAGGCTGCGGCCAGCGGTGGAAGGAAATGATCGTAGAATAAGGATTCTGGGTCAGGTTTCTGCATCCCAGACCCCCTTAGGGACTCTGCACCACCAGTTTCCCTGGTCCCCTTTCCAGTCGGTGAGCTGCCCCAGTCCATCTGCTCCTGAGCTCACCCCTACCTACCAGCTTAGAGGTTAGAGTGGCCCTGAGGATCCCTAGAAAACGGAAAGGTTGAGACTTTTAACAGGAAAGAACTGAAAGAGGAAAACATGATCATTACCCATAAAAACACAATGGTTTCCTCCGAGGAAGAATGGTTCCGGAAAGGAGTTTATCTGATGAACATCAGAGGGCGATGTGTTTGGCTTTCTGGGTTCAGACGTGAAGGGGAGGGGCGGGGGGGGGTGTCTGGATCTTAGTTGAAAGGAACCTCTGCCCTCGGAGAATGGCACAGGCAGGAAAGAAGCCACCACCCCGCCCCCAGCTCACCCGCTGTTAAAGCTGTGGGTGGTCACTGTCCTCGCTGCCTGCGCGGGATCTCTTCACCGATGCTCGAGTGAGTAAAGACCAGGTGCTCACAGAGGGCGCAGGGGCATCAGACACTGCTTCTGCCCTCGGGAAGGTCACAGGCTCCTAGAGAGACTGGGGAGCGGGTGCTACTCACTGCATTCTACAGCACTGGGAGATCTGCCGGGAAGAGGGCTGGAGAGACATAATAATAATAATAATAATAATAATAATAATAATAATAGGTATAGAGGAGATGGGATTGGAAGAGACCTTAAAGGTCGGGTAGGACTTGCATTGGTAAGGGCCTTCCAGGCAATGGCAACCTGAGTGAAGCATAGATTCATGATTCAGTGAAGCAACCAGCGACCTGGGCAGGAAGTAGAGGAATACCAGGGTACGGTGGGCAGAGGACAGATTGTGAAGCGCCTTGAGAGCGGAGCCAAGGAATTAAATTCAAATAAATTCATTGATGGGGGGCTTAAAGCCTGTCAAGCAATGCTCTGAACTCAGGTTGTTGTGTTGTGAATCCTCATCTGAGGATATTTTCCCACTGCTTTTCAGAGAGGGTGAAAGGGAAGGAAGAAAGGAGAGAGAGAGGGAGAGAGAGAGAGAGAGAGAGAGAGAGAGAGAGAGGAGACATATCAATTGGTTGCCTCCTGCACATACCCAACCGGAAATCGGACCCGCCACCCTTCAGTCCCTGGGCTGACACTAACCATTTAGCAGCCAGGGCTGTTCTATACACTTTTAAATTATTAGTTTATTTAATCCTCACAGCTCTCTAAGGAAGGTAATATTTTCATCTCTATTTTTACATAAGGGACCTGAGGTACAGGAAGATTTAGCAACTCGCCCACAGTCATGCAGCTAATAAATGGTAGAGCCAGAAAAGGAACCCAGGCAGTTCAGCTCTACAGCCTTAACTAGTAACCGCTAGACCAGCGGTTCTCAACCTGTGGGTCGCGACCCCTTTGGCGGTCGAATGACCCTTTCACAGGGGTCGCCTAAGACCATCCTGCATATCAGATATTTACATTACGATTCATCACAGTAGCAACATTACACTTATGAAGTAGCAACGAAAATAATTTTATGGTTGGGTCACAACATGAGGAACTGTATTTAAAGGGCCAGAAGGTTGAGAACCACTGCACTAGACTGTATTGAAGAGGAATCGGAGAGCCACTTGCCTTTGGTTGGGAAGCTGGGCAGAAAGGGGAGCTGTGGCAGGGCTGCCACCACAGAAGCGACCTCTTCTTCTGTCACATGAAACCCCAAAGGAGAGCGGGCGGCCGGGGGAGCCCGAAGTTGAAGGAATCTAGTTTGTAGAAGAGAAGACTAGAGAATAAAAGCTATTCTCGTTCAGGTCTAAAGCTGCTCTGAACAAAACGACTTAGGAGGTACCTTTTATATTCAGTACGTCCCCCCTCTTTTCCTGGGCCTGTCCCTCACCTACTCAGGTGTTGACACTTATGTCGCCCCCCTTCTCTCAGCCTCACCCACCTGCCCATTCTCCCCAGAACACATCTACACACTGGCCAGTGCCTACCAGGCAGGGTGGCTATCGGTCTGCCATTCCAGATTTCTTTTGCAATTCCCCACCCCCGGCTCCTCCTCTCCACCTGCTCTAAGGACCACAGCCGCTCGGCCATTCCATCAGAGCACAGTCTCATTTCTGAAATGACCTTCGGTTGATCTAGAAAGCAATCTGTTCTAATGGGAGGAAATGGGAAGAAAAACATCTAGGGCTCTCCCTTCCCATTCAGATAACAGGCATTTTCACTCAAAACATCTTTTTAAGAAACTGCTCCTTATATTGGTTCTCTTAACTCACCGGAGTCACTTTACCTCTCCGATTTGGGAATCGCTAGTAAATTAAGAATTTTATAGCCAACTGGTGAAAGCAATGGTTTAATGACACCTGTCAGGTAACCCTGCTTCCTTTGCCCACATTTAGGATTATCCCTCTTACCAATGCAGGACTTGAAAAGGGGTAGGTCAGCCTTCAGACTGAGAGTTCCGGGTTGGATTCTGGTCAAGAGCACGTAGCTGGGTTTCAGGCTCAATCCCCGGCCAGGCTGGTCAGCACAGTGCAGGAGATGACCGATTGATGTGACTCTTGCACATGGATTTCTCTCACTCTCTCTTCTCCTCCCTTCCACTCTCTCTAAAAATCAATGGGAACATATCCTTGGCTGAGGATTAACAAAAAAAGGGGGGGTGAGGGTAAGGGAGTCATTCAAAATAAGCACTTGAAAAGATGGTCCACATCTTTGTCACCAGGGAAATGCAAATCAAAATAAAACCACAAAGAGAAAATACTACACACGTTAGAATGGTTACAATGTAAAAGATTTGACCAGGTCAACTGTTGGCAAGGTGTGTGGCTCTCAGACTCTGCTGGTGGGGATGTGAAATAGTATAGGGTGTCCCAGCAAGATTTGAATTTTGCCTGAGCATTAACAACAACAACAAAAAATAAAAGCCTAATTTTACTTGCTTTATTGAATCAGATTCTAATATCTGTTGCCCTTTGATTTGAATCCCTTCAATTTGATAAGCATTACCAAGTACCAATGATGGCCCAGGAGCAGGGACAATGAAGACCAATGAAGACCACGGCTTTGCGTATGTGCCAGCAAAGCCGTGGAGGCCATTTACCCGATGTGCTATTCCATACATAACCCTATACTGTATACTTTATGAATCAATAAAAAAATTACAATTTTTAATTATAAATCTGTGTTTTCTATCAAAATTACTTCTTGCGTGAATTTTGGGACACCCTATATGACCACTTTGTAAAAACAATTGGGCAGTCTTTTTAAAAGCTAAGTAAACACTTACCATACAGTTGAAACATTCCACTCCCGAATATTGACCCAAGTGAAACGATAACATGTTTCTGTGCAAAGACTTGCATACCAATCTGTCCATAGTCGTCTTGTTTGAAATAACCCAAAACTGGAAGCAAGCCAAATGTCCCTCAGTAAGTGAATGGATACACCGATTGTGGTAAACCCATACAACAGAATACCACTAAGCAATAAGATGAAATAAACTACGGGTCCACACAACATGATGAATTTCAAAATAATAATGCAAGTGAAAGAAGCCAAACAACAACAAAAAGGAGTACTTACGGTATGCTTCCATTTATATAAAATGATAGAAATTGCAAACCAATATAAAGTGACAGAACAGAGATCAATGGTGGCCTGGGAAGGGGTAGAGGGAGGGTGGGAAGGAGGAATGGCCAGCGTGGCTCAGTGGTTGAGCAGCAACCTATGAACCAGGAGGTCATGATTCAATTCCCGGTCAGGGTCAGGGCACATGCCCAAGTTGCGGGCTCGATCCCCAGTGAGGGGTGAGCAGGAGGCAGCCAATCAGTGATTCTCCCTCATCATTGATGTTTCTATCTCTCTGTCCCTCTCCCTTCCTCTCTGAAATCAATAAAATAATTTTTTAAAAAGGGGTGGGGGGAGGATGGGAGCGGGCTGGAAGAGGTTAATGGGGGGGGGGGAGGACCTATGTAATACTTTCAACAATAGAGATCTTTTTTTAAAAATAAACTGGGGGTGGGGTGAATGCCCACAATACAAAAAGATATTTTACCAAAAAAAAAAAAAGAAAAAAAAAAAATGGGGTGGGGGCATGAGGAAACAAACATTTGGGAGTAACATGTTCATTATCTTGAGTGTAGTAACAATTTCAGGGGTGTACACATGTCATAATGTTGCAAAAGACCAAAGAAATACCAAGCACGCTTCCTAGAGAAAGGGAGGGACCCCGTTTATTAACACTAGTGGACTCCGGGAATAATTTCCAAATCAGAGTGAGTAACATGCAGAGAACCTGCCTATATATATCCCGCTGGGGTCTTTGTCTTGCAGATATGGTTCCGCCCCCTTGTGGGCTTACAGGAAGGCCCAGGTGTTGGGGGTCCCCAGGCCATATCCGATGATCTGTCCTGAGGCCAGCAATAATGACCTCCCCCCACCCCACCCCCGCAGTGCATTGTTCACAGTTTTTATGGCCTGACACGCCTTGCAAGACCAGTTTCCTCCTCAATAAAACATGAAATGATACACTTCAACTATGTGTAGTTTATCATACATCAATTATACCCAATAAAGCTGTAGATTTTTGTTTGTAAGTGGGTAACCAGCTTTCCCTCTTCCTCTGATGGATCAGACAGAAGCTTAGAATGACCAGAACATGGAAAGAAATACAGCACCGACTTTCCTCCTCCTAGGAACACACAGAAAAGAAAAAGATGACGGGGAAGGGAAGAGAATATCTAATGATTTTATATTCTC